CTCTGTCCCTCCTCTCTCCCTGGATTGCCCCTGAGTTTCAAAATCTTGCCCCTCAATGCACAGGACTCTTCCCAGTTGCTAGCTGCAAATTCCCTACCCAGATAGAAACTGGACTCTTCATTTGATAGGGTACAGCCTTTTATTTTTTTTTACACTTTTATTTTAAATTTGGTTCCTCAGAGGAGAGACAGAGGGACACAGAGAGAGGGAAAGGGAGATAGCATCCCTCCAGGAGGGATGGCCATGCTGCAATCCCTTCTTCATTCTCCTGTTAGGTTTTTGGGCATGCACATGCATGGGCCCCAAGTGTTTTTCAAGCTTCCAGATCTGGGACTTGAACTGCATGGTTGGATCCAGCTGCCTTAACCACAATGACACTGGCTGACCTTCAACTTATTTTTAAAATACTTATTTCTTTCTCTATGACCGAGGTGACAGAGAGAGAAAAACGGGTGGAGAGGTAACATCCCACCAAGTCCTGAAGCCACAGTCGGCCCCAGCCTCATCCAGGCCTAGATCATGGGCGTGTTCGTGTCTGGCGAACTCAGAAGGTCTTGGGGTGCAAACCCAGAAACTTCCTACGTGGCCGGCCTTGGAGACTGTAGCCTTTTACCCCTACACCAGGATCTGGCCTGAGGACGACTGAGGCTTAAAGTGTACAGCGTAAGGCTTTGCTTGTTTCAGTGAGGACAGCCCTGTCTGCTATCCAAGGGTGAAGCTGAGCTGGTGGGATTCTGTTTGGATTCATTCTGATTCTGGGGAAGACGAGTTTCCAAACCGGGCCTGGGAGTCTGTGTGTGGACCCTATCAGATTTAGTGTCGTCCTTGGTCTACACAAAGCCATGCTTCTGTGCTGTGGGGGTCTGGGGCTAATCAGCAGCAAGTTCTGGGGTGGGGGTGGGGGCTCGCTGTGGTCGCAGCTGTGGCTCCAAATTGCTCTGAGCCCCACCGCCCCGTCCTGCTCCAGTAGGAACTGACATCAAACAAATGGGCCTGATGCATTAAGTGGGGAGGGGAGGCGGAGAGGGGCCTGCCGGGCCTTCCCCACCTCACACAATGCGAGCAGTAGATGCTGGCTTGATGAGGAGGGCAGTGATGAATTCCCAGGGTCCCAGCTGGGCAGGAGGGGGTACAGCCTTCCTCTTAATAAAGATGGGAGATGACTTGTCCCCTCCCGCTGGGTCTGCTAATCCAACTCCGGAGCTGGAGATTAGCATTTCTAATAGGCCGGGAGGCGCAGCCTCCAGGAGACAGGGATGAGGGATGACAGATATTCTGGGGGTCCCCAGGGCACAGTGGCTTTGTCTGGCCTCAGCTGAATTGAGGTTGGCTTTCTTCAAACAAGACGCTGGCTCCATCTCTCCATCTCTGTCCCCTTAGCAGAGGCTCCTGTTCTAAACCTAGGCTGGGCCGCCCCTCCCCCAAATGTCATATCCAAGTCAGATATCCAATATCCAAGGAGGATGCTATGAAAACCTGGCATTCGCCCAGCCACGTTTCCAAAAGAATGGCTCTATCATTAGTTAATTAATTCATACTCGCTCATGTCATCTCTCCTTCAGTTGGTATTGCCTGGTGCCAGGTGCTGGATTGTGGCTGCAAAGCTGAAAAAATGTTCTTGTACTCAGGGTATTTGCCATTTAGTGAAAGAAACAGACAATGAATGTCATTGCCAGGTCCCCCGAGGGGGTCTAAATCACACCCTGCACGTGTGTGTGTTGTGTTGTGTGTGTCTGTGTGTGTGGAGGAGGGTCAGGGGATACTTTCTCAGACGGTGTCACCTGAGCTATTGTTAAAGATGTGGGGCTCAGGGCCGGCAGGTGATGTGGTGGTTGAGGACACTGGATTCCCACAGGGCCGACTGAAGTTCAAGTCCCGGACCTGGTGGCTTGCTTTTTCACTTTTCCTCACTCTCTCCCCTCTCACTCTCAAATTAAGTAATAATAATAATAAAGTTAAATAAAAATAATAAAAAAAATTTTTTTAAAAGATGTGGTGCTCATGGACCAGCTCTGTGACTTGGTGGTAAAGGCAGCCAGATCTTACATGGCTGACTACACAGTTTGAGTCCCACACCAGGAGAGACATGCTGGGTGCGTGTGCATGTGTGCCCAGAGTCCTGAATGGAGGGAGCTGGAGAAGAGATTGAAGCATGACCACCCCATCCCACGAGCTCTCTCTCTCTTTTTCTCCTCTCTCTGTGGCCCGCTGGCAAATATACATGCCCTCTGGCAACAAAAACCAAAAAGATGTGGGACCCAGCACAAAGGCCTCGGTTTGTTCTCCAAGAGTCGGGAGGGGGGCAGAGGACAGGGAAAATGGAGTTAAAAGGACTTGGAATGGGAAAAAAGAAGGCCCTAGAGTCAGGTGTTACAAGGCCTGAGTGTGACCATCAACTCCAGAGTCTTGGAATCATCCAGAAGGGGGGGCTGGGTTAAAGAAGGTTGGGAAGAGCACACCCCACGTTGGGCCATACTCTGATCTCTGAACCCACATTTACTGAGCCCTGTACTGAGGACAGACCCACGTCACTGTCCACAACTTGACTGTCTCCCTGTCAGCCTGAGCTTTCTGAGGCTGGCACGGAGTAGGTTATTAGTTGAATTGAACTGACTTGCCAGACCTGGGAGGGCTGAGAAACTTTTTGCCAGAGGGTGCTTGTCCATGAAAGAGAGTGAGAGAGAGAGAGTGAGAAAGTACCCCCATGGAATGGTTTGTAGTTAAGGAGTTAGATCCCACATGGTCAACCATGGTTCAAGTCCTGGACTCGGTTGCTTGAAAATCACACAAAGCACGTGTGTGTGTCTGCCCCAAATCCCGAGGAGAATGGAAAAGGGATTGTAGTGTGGCCATTGCCCTTGAGGGGCCATTTCTCCCTTTCTCTTGGTTTTGTCTCTCTCCAGTGAGAGCATGTGCCCTACAGCAAAAAATAAAAACAAAAAAGAGAGAAACTTTTGCGTGTCCAGAAGAGCTGGCAATAGAGCTTGGAATGGCTGGAATTTAGGACACATGTGAGGAGTGGTGAGAGGTGATACCGGAGGTCTGAGGGCCATTACCGGAGTTCTAACGTGCCAATAAAGGCGTTCAGATTTTATCGAGTTGTACGACCGTATCCGAGGTTTCAAGTATGGCAGCCATATGAGCAGATCTGAGTTTTCGAAGGTCCCTCTGCCTACCGTTTCCCCCTCTGGGGGACTCCCTCTAGGGGAGCAGGCTGCTCAGGAGGCAAGTCACTGTCAGTTCAGGCCACGAGGGCTCGGACTAAGGCTGAGTCAACACAGATGGACACGAGGGGGCAGATTGCAGAGACTGCCTATAAACTGAGAAAGATGAGAAGGCTATTTCTCATATTTCAAGGACTGAACAGGGAGGTTCGAAGGTATAGTGAGGCGTCCCCGGTGAGCTACCCAATAAGTCAGGAGGATCCAGGCCTGGAGATAAGGTCTCATTTTAATGAAGTAATGACCCCTGAAACCCATGCCCCATCCTGAGGACTTCTGAAGAGTAGAGACTGGCGGGTTCGATAGTCATCAGGCAATTCTGTGTCCAAGAGATGCAGAGATGCCTTTAGGGGGGTCCTTGAGTCGTTGCCCATTGCCACCTCTGAATGATCAGTTATCTTTGTGGGAGCAGAAGCACCTCCCAGCCCACCCTCTCTCCACCCCCGCGCCACTCTGAGGAAAGGGAGAGGGCTGCCCTGCTTGGCGATGCCCCCAGCCACTCCTCGGGGACTGTTTGAATGCCTGGGGCCGAGGTACAAGGAAGAGGCGTGGAAGAAGCTGAACGCTCTCCCACACCACGCTCCTGTCTTGTCTCTTTTTCTTCCCTATTCTGTTGTTGAGATTTCTCTGTCTACTCAGAGAGGCTTGGGGTTTGTAGCAGGCAGTCGTATTCATTCTTGAAACAGTATTTCACGTCTGCTCTGTGCTAGGTGCAGTACTGGGCTTGTGCGAGGTTCTCCCACCTGAGGGCGAGGTGTGCAGGAAGGAAGGAGAAGTGAAGAAGGGATCACCCCCATGGGGCTGCTGTCTTGCTTTCCCTCTCTTTTTCTCTCTCTCTCTGGCAAATGCAAGCACCCTCTGACAAAATTAAAAAAGAAGAAATCTCATGGCCAGAGTCCATTTTGAACAACTTTTATTATACGTTTAATGTTCTCAATACAAAAGAAATCAGTTTTTTTTTTTTTTTTTTTTTTTTTTTCTTTTTGTGATTCAAAAAAAAAAATTCTGGATAATTTGGCCTTTTGATTGCTCATGCAGTCAGTTTATAAGCCCATGTATTAGACGGTCCTCACGGCCCAGAAGTCTTCCCTGCTGAAGGTCGTGGGTGACACCCTCAGACACGCATCTGTCGCTGACGAAGTTGGTTAATGCAAAATAACTTGCGAAGAGGGTCAAACACAATGTGAGAGGGGTTAAAACAAGGTCTGCGTGGAGAGTTAACTGTTTAACCAACGGGGAACAGATCGGACCACTTGGGGGCGTGTGGAAAGGGGTGGACAGCGCAAAGACATTTCCTCACTGAAAAGAATGAGTCGGAATGGTGGTGGCGAGGGTGGGGGGATGTGGGTGTTGGGGGGGCAGGGTAGGAGGCCCTCCCGGGTCCAGAGTGGGTGGGGGTAGGGCCAGGACAGGAGGTGGTCGTGTCAGAGGCGACCGATGCTCAGCTCGAGAGGAGGGTTCCGAAGTTGGCAAGAACTGGGGAGCTGGGCAGAGGGACAACACTGACTGAGGGCATCGCATGTGGGGGTCAGAACAAAGAGCAGGTTGGGGACAGCTGATCTGCATCATTTTGGAGAAAGAAACAGTTGTGCACAAAATCCTGGATATCTTCTCCGAGATTTTTGTGTTTATTGCTTCACTGAAGTCTTTCCATCTGCCCAAATCCAGC